TTTTTTTTTGCAAAAAACAATTTTCAATATCACAGATGTCTTTAGAATTTTTATTTTAAAATACTTTTTAAATGTTTCCTCTAATTAATGGTTGGTTTCATGAAGCGGTAGATTTTTTTTTTTAATTAATAGCATTTCAATACTTTAAAATTCTTCTACCATGTATAATTGAAATGTATGTGTTTACAATMATTTTATGTGCTGGCGCACCCACATTTGCATTAAGTAATAAGCATGYTTTTTGTAAATAGTATAAATAATGATCATAATAGTACTAACAGCAATTACGTATGTGCAAAATTATTGGTTTGTTAAGCAATAAAGAAAAAAGGCGGCGTTTCAAATTGACATATACAGCTACAATTTGAATAAAACCAGTAATAACAAATAAAAGCATGCGCCTAATTTCCCACAAAATTCACATACATACATTTCATGTGATGAAAATAAAAAGCGGGAAATTATTGATACGAGATGTTAAAAATAAGTTGAGAGTAAAACAGTAAAAAAACAAATAACACGAAAATTCCATTGGTTTCATAAAAATATATGTATGGTCGTATTTATAATTACAAGAAAATTGAATCATAGTATGATTAATACATACTTGTACTTACAAAACGCATGTACACGATTGTATATAAAACACACAGACACAATCACACTTGCATATTATATATACAAACATATTTAGCACATAATTGGAGTTAATTGTAAGTTATAAATAATAATTAACTTCATAATATGGATACAAATAAATTTTACAAAAATGTGAAGTAAAGCTATGAGTAATAAAAAGAGAAAAAGAAGAATAATAAAAAAAAACAGATTTTGCAAAGTATGTAAAGCGATAGCAAATATGATGAGCAACTAATGTGGTTTGAACCGAGTGTCCTCTTTTTATTTCGACTAATTAAAATGTATATAAGCGCATACATACACGCATACATAAAAAGCATAAAAATTTGCACCGAGCGGCAAGGCAATTTGATATATTACATATGCATAGTAGCTGGGTACGCTGAAAATTCATATACACATACATATGTATGTATGTGTGTATGCGCATGTGCATTGGGTAGGCACAAATGTACTCGTATAAGTCTAGTTATATGATACAATTTAAAAGTTTAAGACAATTGTGCGGTGATATAGGACTAGAGATTATAATTAAATAGATTATCGCTTAAACAAAATTAGTGTTAGTATATATATATATATAAATATGTATGTATGCTTGTAATCACACTTAAACAAAATGGTTGGTATGTATGCACACATTTTTTACTTTACATTTTTGTTCATTTACATACTTAGAAAATATGATTTAACTGAAATACTGCTACATACATACATATTGTGTATGTACATTTAACATCGACAAAGAAAATAAAGAGAACTGAAATCACTAAAACAATGGCTTTTCAATGTAACGCGGAGAGTTTGAAGACACTGCACTGGAAGTGGAAAGTGTGTATGAWATATGTTTAGCAAGTTTTCACTGAGATAACTCAAATGTTGTCCAATATAAGTCATCTTGAAGTTCAAAAAGCTTTATATTAGATATATGGGGGCTAAAGAAAGTATTGACCTTATTCAAATCATTTCTTATACACAGATTTACTAGTTTCAGGAAAGGACTCTTTCTTATTCCAATATTATGTTCCATGCATTGACCGATATTTTCGATGAAAAGTCAACCATAGATGCCTAGGGTCCACATGTTCCATACCTAGGGACTTGAACAGTTTGGTTGGATTTGCGCAATTTTTGATCATAAAGTGGTATACTTTAAAGGAATTATTAGTGCAAAGTAGTGTACCCGTTATATTAATTGCTTCCTGATTTGTGTACTAGAAAATGAAATAATTAAACGGAGTTTAAAATACTGATATATGGGAGGTAGGCGTGGTTGTAGTCCAAGTTCGCCAATTTTCGCACTGTGACATAGGAATATGAGAAAAATTCCACCTACTAAACTCTCCGAAATTAGTCCCGAAATTTTATCAAAAAGTAGCTGGTGCCACGCCCAACGTCCAATTTTGGCATACGTCCAATAAAGCAATCTTGGAGGTAAAATTTAATATCTCTGGAGTATTTATTTGTGCATTAATCGCGCTTTTTGCAGTTTTTAACAGTACCGGTACATGGGGAGTGACCGGGAATATCATACTATTTCATTCATTTTCACGCTGTCAGTATGAATTCTTATAATATTTAATTGTTGTAGTCTAGGAGGTGTGTACATTCAACTTATTAGAGGTCAGATCAGACCAGTTTGTACAATTTCGTTTCGTCGATTTTGATCTTGATAATGAACCATATCTTGGAAAGGCTTTTGAAACCGATCTGGATAAAATAAAATCGTGGTCGATGCTAATCGTCGAATAACAAATAACGAAACTTGTAAAATTATTTTCGAAGCTGGACATATGGGTTCCTTATGTTCTTACAGAACGAAATTTGCTTCGTCGCATTAACGACTGTGATTTGCTTATCAAACGTCAAGGAAGTGATCCATTTTTGAATTTACTGGCGAAAAAATAAAATGTTTCCAGCTCAAACCTTTTCGAAAGCGGGCAGTCAACAAAACCCGATAATACTACAATTAATTCTGAAGTGATTTGTGATCACATGGACAAATTGAGTGAACTCAATAGAAAAAGGTGTAGTGTTCCACCGCATACAAGTTTGAAGATTCGCCGAAGACTTTATGGCTTGATTATTCTCCAGATTTTACAATATGA